AATAATAATAATAATAATAATAATAATAATAATAATAATAATAATAATAATAATAAATAAATAAATACATACATCAAAATGTGGTCTACAAAAGATCTTCTAAACAATAATGACAACGTCGAATGGTCTCCATACAAGTTCAGATTCATCCCCCATAAACTAATGACTTTCTAAGTAGAAAAAAATACTTTAGCTGCTTTACTTCCATGGAACAAAAATTCTAATGCTCTTTCTAAAATCATATTTCATTTGTCAACATAGTCAATTTTTATTATCACTTTGCATTCTAGAATCTTTTCTAATTCATTAGATTGGCGATTTCGGAATTTTTATCCTCCCGCGCATTAACACTTTCCACGGGGTATGCATATAAGATTCTCTCCTCTTTCTTCTAGTTATATACAAACAATTACAACTTATATGGTACTCACATCTTGTTTAAGTAAAACAATTTTAGATTTTGAATTGGGGCTCGGTTGTGTTGTGCACAACCGAGAACAATGAGAATGAGAGATAGAGAGAGAGAGAGAGAGAGAGAGAGAGAGAGAGAAGGGATCATATGAGAATGAGAGATAGTGAAAGAAACAAGAATGGTTATAGATCATTGGATCGATACGATCAATGAACATAATTAAGTCAAAATTAAATAATAGGGTCAAATTCACGGTGGCAAAAACGTAAATAAGTAACATTTTTGTGATCAATTCTATACCATTAAGGGCACTTCTGTCGTTTTGTCATCCACCCACTTTTGTGGGTCCCACCACAAATAAAGCCACCCCCATTCTCTCTCATTACCCACACACACCACCAAGTCTCATTACGCATGCACAGATCGGAGTCGTCTTCCTCACTTGGTCATCGGTCGGCGGCTGAGGGGGGGTCATCACTGTTCACTCTCTTCCGGTCGACGTCCAAGTTTAATGTCTTCCTCTCGTTCAGTTTCATGAAACCGACCAAGAGCGAGAAAACTCTGTTCGTTGTAGATTCGAGCTTGAAATTCACGAAAATCAACGAGAGTGCTTGTTTCACAGTGGGGCGACGGCGGCAGGAGACAATCATGACGTTCGTCTCCTCCTTCACGTCGCCTATCCTTCGTCGTCCCCACTGGTTTTTTGCCGAAAATGCCTCTGAAATCGGGGTTGTCATTCCGCAATTCAACCTTTTGATGTGTGGCATGTATCCGGCAGCCGCAAGGTGAGGTTGGCGGGGCGACAGCGGAGGCAGTTGCAGGCAATTAGGCTTAGTTTTTTTCAAAAATAAAAAGGGACTCGAGTTTGTGAATTTGATAACATTCAGGGGTTTAATTGCAATTTCAACATTTTTAATAAATTTCAATTGAGTTCATAGGTGAAATTGTAATTATACAAACAATAAATTAATATTTTAATATCACATTCGTCATGTTTCTTTTCGCATATCAGAATTCATAATAGTGCATGAATTGATTGGTTCACCTGATTTTGTTTCCCACAGGTATGTTGTTAATATTTATTATTTTTATAGTTTTTATTGAAATAAATATTCATAAAAGAATATAATTATAAAAAATAGTATTTGTTATATAGTTTGGCTTTTCGATTATCTAAATAAAAGATATAAAAAATTATATTTTTAATTAAATTTGATTTTTATTCAGTTATTTGAATTAAAAAAAATGTCATCGTATTGAAATACCCAATTTGTAAAAAAATAATAATAAGAATCGAAAAAAAATATAAATTACTGTACTAAATTTTTATTCGTTGGATCTTGTTCGATTTGGTGCAATATGTTAGAAATTTATGTGCAATCAGTATAACCATAATGTGCACTTGCTATACATAAAAAACATTGAGAGAAAAATATTATTATTTTTCACAAGAAAAATACAAATGAAAAGTGGTAACATTTTTCATATAGTTCAGCATGTTCGGTTATTTTGTTTATTTAAACAAAAAAAAATCAGACATTTAACCAACTAATATTATTCGATCGATTGCAAAATTACTTAATATGGTACGTGTTGTGTGTTGTTTTATAAGGTGCAACATGGGGTGTTATAAGGTGCAACGTATTGATTTATAAAGTGCAACGTATTGTGTGTTGTCTACAAATTGAACCGACCGAACTTTTTTTCTAAACCAAATTGAAAATGAGTACAATTAATTTGTTTATTCTGTTCGGCTAACCGAATTATTCGAAATAATCGAAACAATATTTTTTTTAGTATATTAAAATTATATTTAAGGGTTGGGTTCACATGAGAATACTAACATGCATTTCAGGTTGTTTAAAAAAATAATAATATGTATTTTAATTAAAATACTGTACATTTATCAAATAATTTGTGTAATATAAAATATATTTCGGTTCATTTCGTTCAATACATAGCTAAAGTGCAATATCATAGACACAAAAGTGCAACATGACAATCGTTAATGTGCAAATTTATTGGTTGTTTCTGTTCAGTGTGAAAGGGTCGAACTTTCGTCCCAACCAAATTGAAACCGAACACTAACATGCATTTCATTTTTTTTAAAAGAAAATAATAACATGTATTTTAATTAAAATTATTGTACATTTATCGAATTATTTGTGTAATAAAAATATATTTAGTATATTTATTTTATTAATTTAAATATCATTTGCCGTGCATTTGTTATGTTAAAGTGCAATTTTACTGACAGAAAAGTGCAACCCGTTAATCAATAATATGCAATATGTTCAATAATAAATTAATATTTTATTTTATTTTTATTTAATATTTTTCACTTATTATTTCATATATCTAAGAGACATAAAAGTATACTTTTATAGAATTTTAAAAAATTTACAGATTTGACCCATGTGTTGAATTGAAATGTAATCAAAATCATGAAAATTACAACTAGACCCCTAAACATAATCTAATTCTCACAATAAACTCCCAAACCCCACATCCACATAATCTGTGTTTTCAGCCGTCGCTTTCACTCCCGTCGGCGATGTCGCGAGCTTCCGGCGAAGGCGGACCGCTCGGCGAGGGCCCGTTCGAAGCTTTCCACCTAGGTCGCCGGCTGAATGTGTTCCGCGACTGCAGTGAAACCGGCGGGAGTCATCTCAGTCACCTCCTCCGACATCTCCGCCCTACGCCTCCGCATCGACTTCGCCGTCTCAGTCACCTCCTCCAACATCTCTGCGACGTACGGGCTCCAGTTGGAGTCTCCATGGTCGGCCGCGTCTTCAACAACCTCATCACCCGTCTCGATTCCGGCGAGGATAAAGAGGTCAAGGAGACGGCTGACGACGGATTCAACCGGCGAGGCGATGTTGTTGTCTTCTCCGGCGGATGTTCATTACGACGAACTCCATGTGCACAGTCCAAAGGTCGCCGGAAACCGTCAGGGCAGAGCGGCGGTCGGCGGCTCTGTGCGGTAAGTACCGGGATGGAGGTCTGCCGGATCTGGCGTGGAGGTCAGGTGCTCCAGCGTGTAGGCTTGGCGGTTCCGCCTTACTCTATGTGTGTGTGTGTGGGTGTGTGTGTTTGTGTAAATTAACTGTGTTGTGTTAGGTGTGTAAATTAATTCTGCTTTGTTAGGTGTGACGTGTGGCGTGTGTTAGGTGCGTGGGTGCGTGTGGTGTGTGTGGGTGCGTGTTGAGTGTGTGAAAGGTGGTGACGTGATGGAGAGAGAAGGAAATAGAGAGATGAGTTGTGTTAAGTGACGTGGCGGCTGGTAGTGGTGTACCATATGTCCCACTGTTTGGGTGTGTACCACATTATCCTTAATGAGGTATAATTTTGACTTTTTTATTAACCATTAGATCATCTAATCTAATGACTATGATTTATTCTTATTTTTTTCACTAAGCACTATTATCATGTGAACCCAACCCTATATATATAGGGGACGGATCCAATGAGACCACTCCTTAAAATGAGTACGTGAGACTCAATCTTAGCCACTCATTTTGTCTAGATTAAAATCAATTAAAATATACATTAATTAAATAATAAATAATTATTAGTTGACTCCGGGGTTGACCGTTGACTTCCGACGTTGACTCCCGGCAAAAATCGTTGACTTCCAGCATTGACCGTTGACAAAACAACAAAAGACAACTAACCTAGCAGCAAGAAAGAAATAACGTAGTAGCATCAGACAACTAAACTAACAGCAAGAAAGAAATAACCTAGCAACAAAATACAACTAACCTAGCAGCATCAGACAACTAACCTAGCAACATAACACAGCAAACCTAGCAGCTACAGATAACTAACCTAGCAACAAAAGACAACTAATCTAGCAACAAGAAAGAAATAACCTAGCAACTTAAGACAACTAACCTAGCAGCAAAAAAGAACTAGTCTAGCAATAAAAGACAAATGCTCTCACCTCTCTCTAACTTTCTCTCTCTAGGTTTTCCCTTGACCCTCACCCAACACAGCCCTTCCCTCTCGGCCACCACCCCCGACTAGCTGCCCCTTCCGGCCGCCGCCGCCGGCGGCCTCTCTGGCCTCCCCGGCCGCCGGGGCCACCACAACTTTTACCTTTTTTTCAGCTCTTCAACCTACTGGTCCGCTAATTAATTTCAGTTTTTCTCCTACCAAACATGGCATCCACGGCTACCTCTCAATCTTAGGCCAACAAACAAATTCCATCTCCCAGTCAAGATTCGGAGTTGGAGCTCCTCATCTCTCAGCTGGTAATTCGAGAGGCTTTATTGGCTCTTCTCACAAAAATTTCAACAAAACAAATGGAAGAAGGAGAGATAAATCAAGGGGAAGACGGTGATATAGTCGGAATTTTTATGAAAAATCGGGATGAGAGCCCTCCGCCGGAGTTAAAGTCGAAGAAGATGACCCTCGACTCTCGGCAAAAAGAGCAATCAAAAATTTGACAAAATCAAAATAATAAGAAGGTGAAGGCCACCGGTTCGAACAGTGGCACCGTGAGCAGCACCTCCAAAGTCCAATTTCCAGTCAACTTGCGATCGAGCTCTGTCGAGGCTGATGAGGTCGAAGGTCAGAGCTCTCTTCCGGTTCGAGCTGGCTTGATAACGGCGTTGTCGGAGCAGGTGCCGACAGGTAGCAATTTTAAATGTCAACAGATCTGTTTGGATGGAGGTGCCTCAGTAGAACATAACCCTCAGCTGCCAACTGAAGTGGTCTCAACTCATAGGCCCAACTCATCAAATCAGACCAACCCAGTCATTTGGGCCGCATCTCATCAGGGCCAAATTCCATCAAACATATCTGGGTCGAACCATACACCTCATCTACACCCTCAGCCCACAACCAATCGCAATCAAACCATCGCAGCCCCCTCTCGGACCACCATCTCAGAAAGCCCGCCGGCAAATATGCTTCTATTGACCGACGACCTCATCTCCGGCAACCTCAGCGCCGGTATTGGCGTTAGCTACAACCACCGTAAAGTCGCTGGATTCTCAGATCCCCACCCGGTTGGAATCCGATACCCAGTTGCCTTTGGGACATTGCCGTCGGATACCCCCTCGCCGGTCACCCATCTCCCAGCTCTTGAGGACGGCGCTTCGGGGAAAATAAACCCTCACCTGCTCAGTGACAAGGACCCAATCCCGTCTCCTCTAACGGCCAATATAATCAGACATGGGCCCAACCCTTTTGGGCCTAAACCACACAAAACTACCTCAGCCCCTCTAGCCCAAGAGACCTCACA